TGGAAATCGATGAACATACTCATCCCAAAGAGTAAAGTATAGATATATTAGCCTTCCTTATATTTATATAAAAAATATCGATGTAATTTTCGACAATTGTTGATTTTTTTATCGGAATACTTATGACAAAATACTTATGAAAAATAAATAATTTAAAGAAAAAAAAAAAACCCGACTGCTAAGTAATGCAGAACAGAATGACTCATGGTCGGGGCCCCTTAGGAAGATTCCCGATTTATTTTTTACCATTCAAAAAAAATATATAAAAGGAACCTTAAGATGATTTTAGAATACCTGTTCAACGACACCCCACGTGACATAGTTCATCGATTTTTTTTTTCATTTTGACAATATGGTGTCTGATTGTCGCTGTGTCTTTAGTCGCTGTGTCGCTGTTCGCAAGGTTAAGACGAATCGATTGACGTAAGAATCATCAAAATCGGCCTATGCATTTGGCCTGTAGAACGCCACATAGAAACAAACATTCTACATTTATAAACTGATAAACACACTACCCGCTTTTGCATCGCGCAGTCGGGTAAATATCCACATTACCCTCCTTTGCGTCGCGCAATCGGGTAAAAAGAATTTTGAAAATCGGTCAACAATTGACGAAAATATCGGTTTAATTTTTTAAATATCTACTTACAATATAACGTGAATAGATTGGAGATTATTGAAAGAAAAAGGTAAATGAGAAAAGGAAATATAAGAAATTATATTTTAAACCACTTAGATGCAAAACACAAGATGGCAATAACAGTAAAAAATAACAAAAGTCATAAGTATTCCGATAAAAAAGTATAATAAATTATTAATTTTCTATCTTTAGTAATAAACAAGGTGTGAACTTACTAATATATCAGGTTAACAAACAAAACTGATATAATGCATATGACATTTTTATGGGACTTTCATGTGAATATACCTTTTCAAATAAAAAAAAACTAACAAAATAAAAAAAAATTAAACTACCCATATTACCGTAGAACATACGAATAAAATAAAATACACATTCTAACCAATCACTGATGAATTCTGATTAGCTGTAATAGTAATTTCTAGACAAAAAAAAAACATTCTGTTTTTTGTTCCCACAACACTTATTTTATCACCACCGTTATGGCGTGGCTATGCATATACATTCTCTATCCCCACATACATCTATCTCTATTAGTCTTACAACCCCTGTCTGCGAGTTAAGTTGCATAAGCAATAGTTGTCATAACTAAGCACCACTCTACTTGATTAAGTTATCCCTTAACGTAACATATATCTCGATTTAGCCGATTGCTTGACTTCTGACTGTTTTGAATTCAAACAAATATAGATATGCATTATAATGCTTAATATAAATGCATTTAATTTTTTGGACTCATTCTTGTTAAACAATATATTGAATATCTAAGTTTTAAAGTTTTCTATACAAGCCGTGCTATCCAGTTAAAATTACAGCGTCGAACTAAACGTCGAGCACAGCGCTGTCCCATCACAGAGGTTTCCAAATAAAAACTTAAATACATATTGCAGTATTTGATAAAACAAATAATATTTTTTGATAATGTTTTGCTCAACGTTGAGTTCGACGCTAACTTAGACGCTGTATTTGTAACGGAATAGCGAAGCTGTACGTAACTTATTATAGTGTACGTAGATCTTAAAGTTTAGTATACTAGTTATCGTAACCGAAAAAGAAACAAGTTTTTTATTTTATTTTAAAACTAATGATACTTTTTTGTTAATCCGTGATCTTTATTGATCTCTTTTAAAATAGGATATACTCTATTTCTTTTAATAATTGTCAAGGTTACACAGATTGTTCCACATCTCTGACTCACATTTCTTTCACTGGTTTTGTTGTTGTGTATTTTGCAGATATTGCGCACTTCACATGATTCTACATGTCTATGCAAGCAAAGCTTTCAAGTAAGTAATAATAAAATGTTACTCCGAATGGTACATTAATGGGCGGTCTTGCAAAGCAAGTGTATTTTAGGAAGTCAATTCTTGATAAAGATGTTATTGTTAAAACCATATCGATGGAAAATTTATTACGTGATTCTATGATATGACATTAAAATATCCTGTTATTCAGAGGGGTTCCGTTATTCTAATGTATCTCCCTATAAGCCGTCTAGGACGACCCTCATTATGGAAGGTAGTAAGACAAACCGCGGCCATCTACTTGTATAAGTATTGCACCTTGAGGGCGGGTCGGCGACCGCCAATGGGCGTTCTCTAAAAACTGCAACAGGTGGGTGGTAGCCATTTTGGATACGGTGTGTACTTAAAAAGCGGGAGTTTTCACCAAAATGGCGAACGCGGGGCTTTTCCTACAGATATGATGTAATATATACATACTTATTTATTATAACTACTGATCTTGGTATCAAACAGTTTTTGCTGTTAAATATGTGCTTTAAAATTATATTAATCAGTTTACTAATACATATAAGTAATTTTTACTCTTTATTTTTTAAATATTTTTGATGTTTTATATCCTTATATGTGTGCAATAAAGTTAATTCTATTCTATTATTATAGGATGTGTTTTACAAAGACCTTATTAAAAAAGAAAATTACCTATCTTATCTATACTTTAAATATAGATAAGATACAATTGTTTGTTTTTTATTAGTTTAAATTGAATTGGCCCCGAAACTACTGGATTGATTTAAAAAATTCGGAGGTGACATAGGCTATACATAGCTACGGGGTTGAAGTCACGAAAAAACGATCCTTATATTTGCTTTTAATGAATCACCGACGTAGACCAATGTGCATCTGATAGTAAGGTGAATAAAAAAATGTAATAAGTGTAAATATAGAGTCTCAATCGTCATCATCATCAATAGTCTCTCAATAACTACATAGGAACATCTTACACTTACTAAAATTCTTCTAGTTTAAAACTGTTATAAAACGTCATGGTGTCGTACTTACTTTTAATTGGAGTTAGTAACTTTAATAAATAGTTCTTTTTAGATAAGTACAGGTGGTATTATAAACTTCTTTCCAACGAAGATGAGTGTTGCAATATTATGGATGAGTGAGTGCCTTGTTTGGTGACTCAAAATTATTATTAATCATATTTATCGAGAAGGGGAAGTTGTCTCTACATCGTAGTGCATTAACTATTGTTATTACAACGGTTTCAGCCATGGAGTTAAGGCCGGGGGTTTGGTAAAGATTCTATATAATATTTCTAGCTTTTCTCGTGTAAATTATAAGCTTCGTCACATGCGTATTATGTAGTTATATAGTTTAGTGTAGTTTTTAGTGTATTAAGATTTTATCAAAGGAAGATTTGCCAAATAGAAACTCTAAAACTCTATAGCAGCGCTGCGTTTGACGTTGTATTCGAGGTTGTTTTTCAACAGAATTTTAATTAATTATTTATATAATCTGTTACCAACAGCTTTTCCCTTTTGGCTCTATTCTTATTTTACATTGTCAATTAATCTTCGAGGGTTCGTAACATTATATAATGAGTCCATGATGTGGAAGGTGGAGAATAATATCGTTCTTGTTTTGTTGGTATTAATTTATTACATTTAAACAGATAACTAAGAATAGTTTAATTGCCCGTCTTAGTCATTTATGTCATTGATAGTAAACAATAATGAACCAAAACAAGAAATTTAATAATTGTTCAATTCAATGCTTTATAATAATGAAAATATTAAAACAGTTTTATTAAATGGGCTCGGGGTAAAAAATGTGTTGAAAAAATTTTTATAGTATCCCCTAGTAAGCCCCTATCAAGTCATGTTAGAAGACGTTAGGTAGTATAAATAAGGTAGGTATGTATCAAAAACGATGCATCAGTTGTGATAAGATCAACATACACTTTGGAATTACTTAATTTAACCGACTCCAAAATCAAAAAGGAGTATATGTTCGACGGCAATGTCTTTTTAATGTACACGTTCACAGATTTTTCCGCGAATTGTTGAATGATTGTTATTGAATTCTTTTTTTTTATCGAATTTTTACCGATATCGAATCGGTAGTTTTGTTTTTATAATGAAACAAAATATGATTTTCACCTAATATCACCAAAATATTTAGACATGTTTATAACAGAGAAAAAACAAAAGATAACGAATTTAACATTCAAATCCAGAAAGCAGGACTTTCTACATTCAACGGGTATGAATATTTTTATTATAAGTAGGTATGTTCATAGATTTTTTTATTTCTTTCAAACTAGTAGTTTTCCTGCTATTTCGCCTACATAAATTACAGCTAATGTCCCCCAAGAATGAAACTTCCCTTAAAAATATAATTTGTTCTGTGAAAATACCTACTCTCTGTTTGTACCCGATTGTGATAAAAAATGTTTTTTTATTCATTTTTTGGAGTTTGTTTTAGTCTTTTGAAAAAAGAAATCCTTTTTTATATCAGGTACGACTTGTGCAATGCTTTATTTTAGTGACAACGGTTTTGTTTTTTGATACACCCAAAGAGTAAAGTATAGGAATATAAAGGAGATGGACACACCCAAGAATTTTAAATAAAATTAATATAAAGATATTTAACCTTCTTTCTAAACTTCTTGGGCACACCCGTATTTCTTATAGTTAATGCGATATAAGAACAAAATAAAAGTATTTGCTTGAGTGAACAATAGACATCCAAAATATTTACAGGCGAATTTAACACCACCTACTGGTTTCTTATATCTTATACCTCCTTTTCTGATTTAAGTCGATATCGGTAACAAGTTTTGGACGACGATTAGTTCTCAATAATTTTTATATCGTAGGTACCGCATTCAGTTTACTACAATATGTTAACTTTCAACACTCGATTTTCAACTCTACCGCTAATACATTATATTTTAAAAATAAGTGGAGAAGTTTAACATTTTGTATATCTTTGACGTGATGTTGATTGTACATAACGTTGTAAATTATATACAGCTCATATGATAAATCCTGATATGAATAATGTGTTATTATTATCAGTAGTGTATCGACGCATATAAACGCTTGTGTTATCTTTCAGACATACTCAGTATTTAGCAGCAAAACAAAATGAAGTTGTCAATGTTTTATTCTGTGTTTTTTATATTAATCGGATTAGTAATATCGGAAAGTGAGTAATTACATTGGAATATTCTAGTATGTGTTTTCGTTTTCTAATATAAGATGTTTTTTTAGTAACACATGATAGTATCACGAACTAAACTAAATTTCGTTTTAATCCTGTCGAACTACGTGCTTAACTGTGAAAATAACTAACTTGACTATAGTAGCCTTATTATGTTATAGTATACAGGAGTGGAATTATAATTTTTTAATGATTAACGTATGGAATAACAATAAATTAAACACAAATTAAAGTAAGAAACTTTTTGGTTTTTTGAGTTATACAACAGAATTGAACCTTTTTAGGGGTTTGCTAAGTGGCAGCTGTAAATCTGTCGTATCATTAGTAGCATTTATAATATAAATAAGCAGGAATGATCATTATTTTGCGCGTTAGAAATTAAGAATGCTTTCATAAATCGAATATGGCGTCTGAATAAATTGAATTTTGACATTGTACTTCTACCCGAGACTTGATATCACTACAAAATACACATTGTTCAAATTGAAAATATTTAAAGCAAACGTATTAAGGAGTATCTAAATTTACCACAGAATCCAGACCCGAGACATTATACATATACAGTTCATTTTCTATATTAACCCTACTGGGAATTGATTCCGGGACTTAAGAGATGGCGACACCTTGAAAAAGGCGTGCTTGCCACTCTGCTGTGGAGGTTATTACATTTCAGTTACAATATCAGTAGTGAACGGCTTTGAATTAATATTTTTAATATAGAAATTCGCATATAAAAGACGTGTAAGAAATCTGAAGTAATACATAAACGGAGTTATTAATTCCTGTGATATTATGTACAATAATTTGATTGAATGTGTATTATTACAGGTCCAAGATGTATGCAGCCGATTGATCGTGGTTTTTGCTACGCATCAAAACCAAGGTAACGAAGCATAGAATATTGGTTCTATTTGGATTTTGTGGAATTAAATTTGTATATATTTATAACATATATATATTATAATTTATATTTGCATCAAATATAATCATGTAAAATAACCAACCTATAAAATTTATTAACAGTAAATTAAAAGATAAAGGTTTCACTTTCAAAAACATCTAAAACATTTTATATGAAAACAGAGTATCAATTCAGGCGGATATTATATTATATTCTACAGAAAACCTGTTTATTTTATGTTCTTATTATGGTTCTTATATATAGGTACGTTTTGTCGATAAAATTGATAAATATGTGAGTTTTTATAACCGAGTGATATATGCAACACTTTTACAATAATCAAAATGGTTTGCGAGTATTTAAATATATATAATATTTTGAAACGCTATTCGCCATCCTCTATATTTCTCATTGCCGGACGCAATGAGTTAGACATGGACAGTCGTCTATTTTATAGCCATCAATAAATTATATGTTCTTTCCATAGATACGCGTACACACGCGAAGGTGGCTGCCAGCAGTTCTCATACGGCGGCTGTGGTGGAAACGAAAACAATTTCGAAACATATGAAGATTGCTTTAAAACATGTCTGATTCCTCGATAGACGAGAACAACTAACAATAGTTAAAACTTCCTTTGAAAATTTGGAAACAAACACTGAAGCGTTCCTCCCCTTTTCCCCCCACTCAGTGCTGCCATTCCCTCCATCAACAGATCTATCGCGTTTGCATTCGCCGCTTCTTTATTCATTAATGTAAAAATTATACAGTCATATAAAACCAGGGTTAAATTTAATACCAATACATCCATTTATTTTGGACAAAGAAAATATATTAATAAAAATGAGAAGGAAAACAAATTATATGCAGCGGTGCGACCGACTCTCTAATTTGATTCTAGTCATAGGATCTTAGTTATAATATCTTAAGTTATGACGATATTTATTATTAAATGTTGGGAAAAATTCCTAAGTTGGTGACGTTACTATGTTCGATAGCTATAATCATCATTCTTTATCGTTCGTCGTTACTAAAGTATATGTCAAAATAGTAAAATGAAACGAAATATCGCTATATGATTAATACGATGTAGTATCCTACGGCTAGAATCATGGCTATGGCATGGATAGAGTAAGCGGTCGCACCCCTAGCTTGTGATCAGCGCTGATCTTCCGTTGGAACCGATTTGGTGAAAACACAAAACCAGGTTTAATCCATTATCCGCGTAAAATAAGTCAACACGTCTCATTCTGAAACTGATTTCTTCTGTCATTGAGTCCTCTTTATTGTCAATTTGCTTTAGTCGGCCAATATTTTAAGCCATGTTTAAATCAAGTATCTGTTTACTTTAGTCCTCTAATATGACGAATAATATCTTTAATGTTGCTGATTGTTTTTAAAAATTGCACTAGATTTTATCACATCACTAATTTAATCACCTTAATGTTAATTTTATATAATCTAATATCTTTATGTGTTTCTTTATTTATTTGATGAATTATTTATCTCTATTTATTTGATGAATTGTTCAAAAACTTCGTTACAATTTAATCGTTTATTGTTGAGAACAAGTATATTTAAGCTTCAAATTATATCACGGTGTGCACTTCATGAAATATATCTCATTTTTTGATTAATCACTGATTCTTAGATCTGTGTGAAAAAAGTAAACGGAGTTCATTAAATTAAGTTATTTTAAAACAATAAAATTATCAAATGCTAAATTAGTATTAGATACAAAATTATTTTAATATATATATATATATTTTTTAATATAAAATGGAGGGCAAATGACTGCGCTCCACCTGATGGTAAGCGGAGGCGCAGTCCACACGCGAGGACAGCTAGTGAAAACAGTACGTAGATACTGCACTAGCCAACCTCACCTTGCCGACCTGCAAGGTGCTTCTTCACGCCCCGCTTGAAGGACCCCATACTTTTCATTTCATTTTATATTTCTTACTTAAATTAAACAACTATTTAAGAAATATATAGTTTATCTTTACCAACTTTGTCAAAAAACATGTAAATAAATGATAACAACGTTGATTATATTAACACGCAAATCTTAACAAAAATTAAAATTGAATAAAATCAGATAAAACTGAGACGTAATTGTTTAACCTTTAAAAGACAACCAATTTATTATTCAATCTCTTGGTCATAGATCATTTCACAAAATTTTTTATTGCAATGCAAAATATAAACATCGCAACGTACGCTATCCAAGGTTGGTTTACTGATGTGACATTGCACCAACTGCCCGTACACACGCAAGCATGGAAACGTGCGTACAGAGAAATACCACGTGACAACGGTATCAGAGTAGCCATGGGACTGATAATGCAGCCGTTATCGACATCCTGTAATCAACAAAAGTTATAATTCAACATAAGTAAATCTATGCTAATATTATAAAGCTGAAGAGTTTGTTTGTTTGAACGCGCTAATCTCAGGAACTACTGGTTCGAATTGAAAAAATATTTTTGTGTTGTATAGACCATTTATCGAGGAAGGCTTTAGACTATATAATATCACGCTGCAACTATTAGGAGCAAAGAAATAATGGAAAACGCGGACGAAGTCGCTGGCGGCCCCTATTAAAGAATAAATGGTCGGTGGCAATTCTGTACAGGCAACAGTACCTACATTAAATGAATCGGTCATATTTTCCAGTTCATCTTAAAATTGTGGCTCTACCATGTTCTTTACAAGCCTTGACACATTTTCATGTTTGAAACTCGGTTTTCGGTACAACGGATGAGTTACGGAAACTGGGCTTTAAACGTTAAAATGTAGTTAAGGTAACTGTAAGTTTAATGTTAACGCATTTACTGGTCAGTGCATTAGGGATTTGTAGTTTTTGGTAGTTACCAATAGGGGCGCTGCACTGGAATTCATACGGTGAAACTTCACTAACTCTGGAGTACGACCACGTAAATTTGTACTGACCCATAGCTATTGACTAAAAAAGCTTATTCGTTTCGAAAGATTAACTGAAAAACTGCTAGGCTCGCATCACTTAAAGTGAATGTTTAGCTTGATATCAACAGATTGTGCAATTTCATGAATATTCACTAGCGATTCTTCGTATAAGGTCACGTGATTCGTGCAAAATCGGTCATCGATATCGAATTGGATCGCATCGAGCCATGAGAAAAGAGCCTTACAGTTGAAGCAACTGGGTAAGATTTTGTGCTCTGAAACTGATTTCGTTATAGATATTAACCTACGACGAATAAACTTACTTAAAATGGTAAAAGAACTTCATGTGAAGTAGTAGACCCCTAGAAACTGCTAATGTACTACTCACATGCAGCGCCATTTCGAGTTTGGCCATGCGTTTACTCCCGAAATGTCTGCCGATAACGGCGTGACGTCGGTTACGACAAGCGCGCTGTGTGTATACACTGCTTATGTCGATCCAACGCACTGAGCAACCACCGGTAAAGCGTCCAAACACCGAGCGAGGCTCCGTCGCGTTCTCATAGAAATTGTCACTGCAATAATATAACAAACATAAATAATAATATATCTAGATTTTTGAGCCCAATCCCTTACAGTATATGAATCTAGTAAAAATTAAAGAATGGTGCATAAAGCATCCTTTTAAAATCCAAGCAAATGTAAATACTCAATATGGCAGGTCCTAAGTTTAACCACAAAACCGACCAAAAGAGGTACCTACTAACTATTATCTATGCTAATAGTTTCGTTGATCATTGACTTTATTGGTTTACTTTACCGATTAGTACAAACTCATTTACATTGGTCGATAGTGCTCGCATGTGGAGTACGTACGATCACTATGCTTATTTGCAGTAGGCGATCATGGTCTGCCATTGTTTTATTCAGTACTGCAAGCTCATTTCCATTGGTCAATAGGGCCAGCATATGTGGTGATTTCTGTACTTATTTATATTAGATGGTCATTGACTCTCATTTGTTTACAGATCAGGAGGCCTACTCGCTTTCTCGAAAACGAAATTTCGTTTACGAACGAAATTAAAACGACATTTCGCATGTAACGCTATTCTTTATCATTTTCGTATATACCAACGAATGTTCGATTCCAAAGACAATTTTCGTGATCGTTTGGAGTGAATGGCGTTATTGGATTTCTTATAATGTCAATTCCGGTTTTTACAGTAAAAAATTTACAAGTTTCACCAAACTGTTCAGTGTTTACTATTATAAATATATTTAAGTAACTAATCATTGTGATTTCCGACATTTTATCTTGACAAGTCAGAAAACTTTATAAGTAAGTATGAAAGGTTTTTCGTAATAAATCTCCTTTTTTTAAGTCACATTTCTCAGTTATAATGGCATTGCCTATATGCCTCGTAAAATTTGCAATATTAATGACATAATTCTATAGGTATTTCGCTCACTGAATACAACAGTGGCACAACTCAAAAATCATAATTTCGAGAAAACGGTCTCCGAAGTTTACGAAAATTATCGCGCACGTCAATTGTTTAGCATAACAGTTAAATCGTTTGTATTTTATTATTACTATTACGTTTTTTGTATTCTGTGGGATCACATAGATAATTTAAAGAAAAAATAAAAAATATTCTGTTAGTATATTTTTATTTATAGGCTTGCAAAGTGGGTACTTCAGAGTTGTGTCTATATTGCATAAAATATTTTAGAGCTTTTTTAATTGGGTCAAAGGCAAATTATTTTAAATAAATACATTTAAAACAAATGAAATCATTTTCTGTACTTTTATTTGCATAAGAATTTTGCGATGGCATTAAAATACCCGTCCACAGTAATTTTCCTTAAAAATATTTAAAGAAAACGGAAAAATTATCTACTAACATTCTATACACATCAGTGTATAAAGTTAAATTAAGAAACAAAAAAGTTTTATCAATATACTGTTTACACAAGTTATAAGTAACAATATTATCATTAAAATCAATATTATTTTAAAGAACAATTTTGGTAGCATAGGCTAAATATTTTTATGAAAAATGTAAACAAACTTAGGTATTATTTAAATCCTGGATTATATTTCAATCTGTCATTTTTAGCTTAAAATTATATATGGAAACTATTTATAATATTAGGAGCCATTATGTCGAGTTTACTATTTTCTAACAGATGTAATAACTCTTGAAAAATAAAAATATATAAAATCCTTCTTTAAAAAATGACAATAAGCAGAAAAAAATAATCAACGTATTTCTAAGCACTGAAAATGTCAAATACTTCGTAGTAAACAAATATAGGTGGTAAGTATTAAAAATATATATATTTAGCTGTAAAATTGACAAAAACAAATAAAAATCAAGTCTTCCTTTTACACAGAAAGAACTAGCATTAAAAAAACTGAAAAAATATCAAAAACAATAAGAAATTAACGTCCTTCTTCTTAACAAAAACAATGATGGGCTTAATTAAATCATTCATGTTTTAAATTATTGTAAAAATCAGAATGACACCGTGAAATTGTATTATTACTTATCAAAGATTGCAAGTGATGAAACTTTTTTTGAGAAATTGCAAATGTTTCAGGATAAGCTTTTGACAATTGAAACCCTTTCAGGGCCTTCAAATTCTTTCTAGTTTTCGAATGAGTCACTTTCACAGCCTTAAATTCATCATCTGCGTAGGAAGTTTTATAATAGTAAGTGCGTGGATCATTTTTATTTACTTTAATAACGCAAATATCGTTAAAATTAAACCAGTCTCAATGCAAGCTGTTTGGCTCCGCTCTCTGTTGCATAAAATAAATGATGCGTTTTTATATTCGAATCTTTGAATAACTCTATTTATTCACAATTCATACATAAAGCCAAAATTAACAATAAACTATTAGGTACTCACTGTTTCTTAATAAGATTCCTTTCATTTTGGTTTTGAGGTAATAATATACTTATTTTCTTATAATACCTATCTGGTGAATTGAGATCAGTCCTAACCTCCTAACTCCGCGAAAATGTTTGTTGGGTCATAGGCCCATCCATGTTTTGAGATACGGATCCTTGGTAACTACCTTGGGCATAAAAAATCAACGCTGTAAGAATAAAAAAAATATGAAATGCATAATAGTAGTCATGAATTTTTTTTTATCAAGAACTACGATAAAATATTTACCAACTTTAATTGTGGACTCGATGGCATGAGGTCTTGCCTGTGGACGCAGTAAAGGTATGATCTCGTGGCAAAGTTCTTGAAATAATTCAAAACTGAGTCTGTAAAATTACTTACAAACTCAGTGTCGGGAATATTTCTTATATTAAAGCTATTTCGAAGCTGCCGCCGGTTTCATCTACGGTCTAATCTTTCTTCACTGAGAGCGGACTCGATTAATAGTAATATAGACCCCATTTCGAAAATAAAAAAAATCTAACGAAAATGAAAAGGTAACATTTTTTATTTCGTCAATTTGAGGTAAGAATTCCGAACAATTAGATGTCAAATTCAAATGTTCATTCCGTTATTTCGTGAAATAGAGTAGGTTTAGAAAATAAATATGTCAAATTATTTTCGTTCGTTGAATATTCGGAACGAACGTAATTGTAGTAGGAAACGTCCGAAATTTCGAATGATATTTCGTTTTTGGGTGAATTAAAGTAGGCTTCCAGTTCATTTGCATTGTGCACGCGCACCATGCGGCACTTTTTAGGGGCGGCAAATTTCACGGAATGGCAACACCATTTATACTGAATTACGGGGGTTCCCCATATTACATTTTGTGCTTGGATTGTTTATGACTTATAATCAGCAAGAATGACTTCTATTACACATATATTAAGTTCAATATTGTTTATTACGTCCCTTTAAGAAAGTACGTGAAGCTTTGACAATTCAAAGAAAGTGTTAATCATGGATTTTAATTTTTTTAGTTAACTTTTTTCAAATTATAAAAGACAAGCCCTCTTTTTTGGATACTAATCCTGTGTTGCGAGTGATAAAGTGCAGCCAAAGATTAAGAACAATTATTTGCAAATCACGAAAAATTGCCCTTTGTGGGGATCGAACCAAGACATTCGATCCGTGGGCAGTTGCATGGCGACAACTAAACCAACCGTGCAGTCTAACCTGTATAATGTGAAATGATGATGACAGTTCTTGCCGAAAAATTATTTAAAATTGATGTATATAATGTATAGTATAATTATATAAAATACCTATGAAATACCTAATTAAGAGGGGCAGTAAAATTGTCTTCCGCCACGGGCGGCAGATACGTCACTGTTATTAACGTATTTTAGTTTTGTTTTCTGATTTGTTTTAGTTTTGATCTTTATTTTTATTATACAAATTGTATTAAATATAATAATATCATCATCATGAAACTTCAATTCTATACACTTCTATACACAAAATGCTTACTTAGAACTAGTAAAATAATATATCTATTGCAATACCATTCAGTATACAACAATACCCGTTACTGCCAGGATATTTCATGATATATCTTCCAATTTTGAATTTGAATAAATCACAATGAAAACTATACTCACACATCTAAGTAGCGGCAGTATCTTCTATAGCGCGCAATACGTCCCCTTGATTGGGGGTTCAGCGGAACAAGTGGTATGAAATCGATGGCGAATGCGTCCGAACAGAATGAGTCGATAGGTATCTGCGGCTCATTCAATCCACATACGAAGCACTATAAAAAAAAAGAATTCTGAAGTTTTATACATTTAGCCAATGATTTCATTGTATTTAGACATTTTAATAGGTCTTTATCTACGAAATTGCTGCTCTTTATGAAATAAGTTAAAAAATTCAACAGGTGCCCTAGATGGGATCGATCGAAACCACGGGTCTTCGCAATCCCGACGACTACTCAGCATAATTACTCTTGATCGTAATTGCAACTGTGACATTTCCTACTTTTTATTTGATACACAAGCGCCAATGGTTTTTGAATAAAATAATTGACGTTGAGTAAGTATTGAGATTATGTTTCAAAAGTACGAGCCAAGATTTGATATAAATTGAGATCCTTATCAGATTGGGTAAAAATTGATATTGAGATGTGTTCAAAAGTAAGCCAGATCATTGCGCTACCGGGGATCTCGTGGGAACTCGCCTTGCACGTCCCGGGATCTTTCCTCTTTCCGTGAGGAATTTAAAAAATGGGTCTGAGGAACTCAAGCTACTTGTTATTTTCGCTACTAGTGAGCATATTCTCATTAATATTCAGGTAATTTACATAAACGATACGATAAGACGCCTATACAAATATTTTTAAACTTCCGATTCAGTGTTCTAATTAATATATTTGACCAATATTGCATTCACTTAATTTTTTCTTTTTTAACTGTATTTTTTATTTCTATTTCAAAGTGATAATAACCACTGCAATAGTCAAATTTTTACTAAAGCCGTGATAGCATCATACTTAAAGAATCTGATGGGAACTGTCTCTTTTGTTTAATTTTTTTCCGCCAAAAAGTTATCCAAATTCTAGAAAAAATAGGAGTCCGTATCCGCAAGATCTGTTGACTACGGAGGATGACAGAGAACTTTCCACTCCATTTCTTGTAATTACGAGACTCCTGCGCAATATGAGTTTGTGCAGGATTCGCAGAGCCTAGCTTCTCCATCACAGTGTTTTGTTCTTCATAGTATACATCTGCAGTAATGTTCAACAGAACATATTCTATTTCTCGTCGCAGGTAACAATGCGGTTCATAGATTGCAAGGCGCATCTAGATGCGTTATTTGCACTGGCAATCTTTGAGTTTGCAGGAATTCCATTTGCCAACCTTTTATACCCTTGTTGATTTTACAGATGTGAACTAATGTTGTATGATGCTCAGTTTCATAATCAGCTTTTATTTGTTATTGTTAATCAAAATTTTGGAACAAGCACCGTGTTTATTTTTATTGGTCGATATTTTCAGAACGGAAGCAGTCAAACTAATAATAGGTCGAAGATGATCAAGTCGACTTATCACGTCTACGTAATTGAAGCAAATATTTATATTTTATCGCGTTGACTTGATGTTCAATTGCGTTAAAATTTGATTAATAGTACTTAATACACATGTGCTAGACGCAAAAGGATGGTGCGTTCTTTGTAATATTCTTTCCATAAGCGTCGTTGATGCCGTTATTACTCGAATTTGTAAAGTGACGACGAAAATATTCAAATACGATGAAAACAGAACGCTAACTCTCTATTAAACAAATAAGCAATTAATTTAATTTAAGAAATAATACCTTTTTAAAACTAAAATTAATTACGAATTAGAAGTGTTAATGAAACATATTTAGAGAACGACAAATTAGCAAATATATAGGTAAAGACCCATTATTTTTGTAATGTAAGCGAATTAGTTATTTAAATTCAAATTCACTCAATATAGTGTGTTCTAACTCATTTCCTTTGTTTTAATTATTTCAATAATATTATCCTTACCTTCGCAACAACAGTTGCATTGGCTAGTTCATAATATATCGGTGGCTCCGTTATTTCATTAGAAGGGCAAGTCGGTATATTGTATTTCTGTAAGGTCTTATTGAACATATCCGTTATGTTAGATTCGAAATCATTGGTAAGGTTTGCAATAATTTCAACCAAACGAGGAATGTCGATTTGTGGTATTTGAGAAGTTGTTATTGTAGGAGTTGTTGTTTTTCGTCTTCTTGTCCTCCATAATGTAGTGGTGGTATTCGGTTTTGTTGTGGTTTCCGGATACAACATTGATGAGTAAGGGTAAGGGTAGTAATGTGGATCAGCCATCTTCAATGTTCTCATTGTGGTTGTAGTTGTAGATGTAGTAGTTCGTTTGAACATATTTTGCTCTTCGTCATCGTCATCATCATCACCTTGACGTTCACCCTCATTCGCTGTCGTAACTTCAACGTCACTCGCACTCGTAATTCCAACCGCAACATTATCCGTAGCCGCACCTTCACTCGCACTCATAACCTCAACCGCACCCTCATTCGTAACCCCACTGCCACTCAAACTCGTAAACTCTACCGCAACCTCACCGTCACTCACACTAGTAACCTCAACCGCACCCTTATTCGTAACCTCACCGTCACTCGCACTCGTAACCTCAACAGCAACTTCAGCATTACTCACACTCGTAACCTCAACTGCACCCTTGTTCGTAACCTCTATGTCACTAACACTCGTAACCTCAACGTCACTCGCACTCGCACTCGTCACCTCAACGACACTCGCACTCGCACTCGCCACCTCAATGTTACTCGCACTCGTAACCGCATCCTCACTTTCATTCTTACCTTCTCTTGTAAAACCAAATTTTCTGCTATACATTGGTTGTTTATTACCATTATTTTCCTCGTCACTTTCCGTCATTTCATCGTTAAAAATTATTGTAATTTTTTTTATTGACATGTTATCATCACCAGTCACATCTTCAATTTTGTCATCGTCACTGAAAGTTCCTCTACTTCTGTTTAGTACAATTTGACCTTCTCGAGGGAAATTTTTAATCCATTCAGGTATTTCTTGGTGCATTCCGGTGAAATCTCGAAAAATGTCAGGGTATTTTTTATCCATGTTGGGAATATCTTCCGTTACTTCGAATTTATCTTCAGTCGTTTGTGGCCAACCTTGAAAGATAGCTTGACTTGCTTTTGGGAAATCTCTTCCTTTTTCGGGGACAAATGAAATCTCTGGCGTTCTTTCAGGCTTCTTGACAATACTGTACGTTAACTGCGTATACTCTGTCTCAGATGTTTCTCTTTTAAATATAGTACTTGTTCCAGTTTTTCTATCATTTAACGTAACAGTTCGTAAAAGTCCTTGTCTCTTCGCATTGTCGATTATTTCTTCTATTACGTCATTATAGAACTCGGTAGCGTCTAGAAATTCTATTTTCTGTGTAATGCTAGTGAATGTGAAGTCTTTTGTAGAATCTTCGTTTATAGAAAAAACATCGTTGGTGGTGATTTCTGTGGTGTACGCTGTTAGACGGTCTAATTGATGACCAGCTAGAAGCTCTTTGAGTGCACCTATAAAATTAACATAAATTTATGAAGTATCATAACAACGAGATAGTATTTGTTAAGGCGGTTATAGTTTTGTCATGTGCTTAATAAAAAAAAAATCTATATGACTTAGTGATTACGAAAAAAGATTATTCTCTCGTAAATTTTCAATTATAGACAGTTTGAAGAATCTACCGTCTTTGTTATTTCTTACCTTTCACATCTCGGATCTCATCTTGACTCAATGTCCGTGCCCCTGAACTGTGGTCTCCAAATCTCTTAATTCTGAAACGTGTATCGGGATCCGCCGACGTGGTTCGTGTCATTGTCATAATAATATCTGAAGTTATTAAGTATTTGAAACAATAAATCATGTTTATTTTGTGAAATGATCGTTAAAGTGGGAAAAATTAAAATAATGAAATATTTTATCATTACAAAGAAGTGGAATTTAAAAATAATTAGCTCTTGCGTGCTATACGAAGTGATTAGTATTTAATATTCTACTCTATATGATTAATCTGATATTTTTTCTTAATTCTTTTAATCTTAAAGGGGTTTTTATTCTTTTGAAGATATAAACCCCATAATATAATACATTTTTTTAATTCTTACTACGCAGTTTCAAGTTTTATTTGAGGTCGACGTATTAAAGTACTTTCTACATTTATCTTCATAATCCTTCCTTTTATCTTTATCAAGAAGTATGAAACAAAAACTCACACGCCTTAACCTCAAATAAATTTTGAACAAAAGCAAGCAAATCATTATTATTAATGTTGACTGACAGTATCTATAAGTTGAAACCTTCACCTTCCGACTCGTACTGATCGTCGAAATCAGCATCAATACTTTGATCATCCTCTAAGTCCTGGTACTCGTCATAAGCTGCTCCATTGCGAACGAACGCCACCAACACCAAAGCGAGAAAAGGCGACATGGACACCGAACTAACTTAAATGGTTTTGTCTTATGGTTCAAATAATGTTGTACTTAAGATTTTACTGATGCATCATAAATTCTGCCCAACCACTGGCAATATGAATTTAGATAGGTACTTCGTTTTGGCTACAAAAACTATGTATGGTTACCAAATACATATAACTACATTTGAAAATTAAATAATGCTTAGCTACATTCCTATGGAGATATCAAACAAAATATCAGCATTTATTCTTTTGCAAGAATAGATTTTATTTTGTAAGTACAAAAGTAAAGTCAAAAATGAGTCTAAAGAAAAGAGTAAAGTATAGTGGTCAAAAGTATACTCTAAGGTCAAAAGCAAAGAGAAGAATAATAAAATATATAGTCTTTATCAGTCCTGATATGATCTTCTTTGGTGTATGAATAAGTGGGCTAATTCGAGCTCTCAGGGCCAATAGTCACCTAAAAATCCTACCAAGACGTAGAACACCATATTAGACGACGTTGTCGATTTATCGCGTTGTTGAATATACCTAAGAGTACATAAGACTCCTTTTATATTTCGACTGTGATTATTACGTAAAATGGTCAATCTTGGCATTCTTGATCTCGGAATTTAAAATATATTAATAATCTTGACCCATTTAATAGGGCAGGATACCTATTGGCAATATTAGCATAGATGGTAGCGGCTTTGCTTTTTGTAAATTGTGCTTAATTTTTTATTACACCGAAAATTGCAAAGAATGATTTTCATAAAATTATTATATACCTTAAAAGGAATAAAGTTTCGTAATTCCTCTAAAAGCACAAATATTCTATTTCAATAAAACCATAAATTAGGTTGGGCGAAAAGTTTTTTCGCATATACTATGCATAAACTTGTAATAAAATCTTTCTGGCTAAATACCATTTACATCTGGGTGGTTTCTGTATCATTAAAGAGTTTAAATTTTAAAAAAGATACGAGTAACTTCGAATTCAAATTAGGAAAATGTGTGATTTTTATTTGTTTTTCTTATTAAAAATGAGTGAATCCAATGAAGAAATTCAATACATTTAAAATTTATATTACAAAAAAATCTTCGATCAACAATACAAAAATACTATGTCCGGACATCTTTTTGTAATGTTGTTTGCAAAAAATCTAAAAATGCAACGCAAGCAGCAAAAAATATTTGTGACTTTTATAGACCTAGTCCAGTTTCTTTGAGAGTAGTATAAATTTGGTTTAAGCGTGTCCAGATCGGAAATTTTGACGTCATGTTACACGTCGATCCGGTCGCCCTGTTACAGATAAAATGAATGCTATTTTTGAAAAAGTAGAAAAAAATCGGCATATTAGTAGTTATATATAGTCATAAATGGGTACCCCACGAACTCAATGATCGCCAGCGCGAAGTACGAGGAAGTTGGTTAAACCCTGGTTCAGCACCCAAACAATACCCTAAATGAAAACTTACTCCTAGCAAAGTGATGGTCACTGTTTGATGGTCTAACGCGGGTCTAATTAATCACAGCTGCTTACCAAATGGCACGGGCATTATTACAGATGTGAAGAACTGAACACAATGGAGAAGTTCGCACGTCTCCAACCAACTTTGGTCAATCGTTCGTTTCCACTGCTCCTGCACGACAACGCGCGAACTCATACTGCACATCAGACGGTCTCCAAGCTACAAGAGCTGGCATTGAAAGTTCTCCGTCATCCGTCTTACTCACCAGATCTTACGCCTACAGACTTCTACTTTTTCCAGAATTTGGATAACTTCATGGCGGGAAAAAAATCAATACCTGAGAGGCAGTACAAAATACCTTTGAAGAATTTTTTGCCTCCCGTCCAGCTGTTTTCTTCAAGAAGAGCATCAATAACCTACCAATGCGTTGGCACAGATGCTTTAATTGCATTAATGATAACTTTGATTAATAAAAATAAAAAATATAGAAAAAAAGGATTTATTTCATGAAAAACGGCAATTTCATAGGAGACCTAATTTTTGGGTACCTCAGGAGTTCTCTAAAAGAAACCTCATGCACCGTGTACTCATTTGTGACTCTTTATTATAGCGTAATGAAACCGAAAAATTTTTGAAGAAGCTGATAACTGGGGATGAAAAGTAAATCGTACGTACGACAAGAACGTGCAAAAAAGGTCGTAGTAAAAGTTTGGTCAGGCTTCACAGATTGTGGCGAAACCCAAATAAACTCGCAACAAAGTGACATGGTGGGATTGGAAGGGCATTATTCATTATAATCTTTTACTGCTAGTCAAGACCATTGATTATGAACTTTACTGCGAATAACTGATGAGATTAAAACAAGAAGTTGAGAGAAAGTGGCCAGAATTAATCAACAGAACGGGTGTGGTTATTCGTCATGATAACGCTAGACTTTACACATCTTTTGCCACTCAGCAAAATTTAAGAGAGTTTGGCTGGGAATAATGAGTTTTAATGCATCCCACGTATAATCCTGATCTTGCACCTTCAGATTTCCACCTGTTTTGGTCCCTTCAGAATTCTTTAGGCAGTGTGTCACGTTGACATCGCGCTAGGACTGCCAAAACCACTTGTCGCAATTTTTCGATCAGCTCTAAAATTTCTGGAGCGACGGGATCATGTCCCCACCTACAAAATGGCAAATAGTTATAGAACAAAATGGTACTTAAATACTTTAAATAAAAATGCGTGGAAACTTTTTCTCCAACCTTTCATGCTATTAAATCTAGTAATGATACGAAATGGAAAAAACATCGTATAATATTGCGTTCTATTACGTAACGTTTGTAAATCTGGAAATAAAAAAAAACTATTTTATTCTATAATTTTTCATTTTACTACTTTGATATGTTCTTTAATAGAGATGAACCAATGATAAAGAATAATGAATATGGATTTCACAGCAGTTTTACCAACTTAGTTACGAGTATTAATGCCAAACTTATCCACCAAAAAGACATGTCAAAGTAATAAAATGAAACGAAATATCGTTAGGATATCTGCTAAGATGTCGTATCCTATGGTTAGAGAGTTTTTCAGTCGTCGGCTTGAGCATGAAGTGGAAGAAAGGAAAACCTCAGGAAGACCGAAGAAAAGATGGATAGACTGTGTGAAAAGCAAGTAAGATAATATGTGTAAGAAAGGAGCAAGTGGGTCACATAGGGGACCATATCACCATTCTCCAGTTTAATTTAAACTTTACAATAAGGTTTAAAAAGTTGACCTGATGTGCAGTATAAGTATAGAATACGTCAGGTTACATCTGGTTTTATGATAGAATAATTAAGTGTCTATAAAAAACAACAATATGAATTGTAAATGATTTTATTATAACTAATAATTACATTACCTACAATACTAACATCGGTATAAAATTGATAGACGCTGGACACACACGAATTTTATAAGATATCATTACAAACATACATTAATTTTATTCTTAAAACTTAGCATTTAACTTTAAAAGACTGCCAAAATATTATTTGCCTAAAAATCTCCCCCTACCGATACATTCACTAAAATCGAAATTGACCAAAATATAAGCATCGTAATATATGCTATCCATGGTTGGATTTTTGCTGCGACATTACACCAACTGCCCGTACACACGCAAGCATGGAAACGTGCGTACAGTGAAATACCACGTGACAGTGGTGTCAAAGTAGCCATGGGACTGATGATGCAGCCGTTATCGACATCCTGTAATTGATAAACATTAGCACTTTCATTAAGGAAACATGAAAAAACTATACAACCTGTAACATAAATAATGCACATCCTTATAATAGTATTTTTAAAATCAGATGATGGAAAAAATAATTATACTAATTAACTTTCGATAGAGATGAAATTTTTTTCTAATTAAAATAGCATTATGAATGCAAATTATTATATTTGATCACTATAGCATTGTGAATGTAAAATTTATCAAATATTAATTAGAACGTTTAAGAAGTTTAATATATAAACAAAAAAACTTTCGGCTGTTTGGGTGGATTGCCTGAACATTGATGAAAATACGCCACAATACGCTCTGTAGTAGCGAAAAAGTAACAAGTCCTTGAAAAATTCGTCAGTCCTCTTGGGTTCTGGGTAGCTCAGTGTTTATAGCAGTCGCCTGGATTGCGAAAGGTCGTGGGTTCAAATTCCATCTCAGAGTACCAGGAAAAAAGTGGATTTTTTAAGCATTTTTCATTCATGCCTAATCATAGGTCGCTTCATTAACTGCAAAGTTATTCATTTGCGCAGCTTTGTTATTACGATCTTAAGTCCGGTTATGATTTATTCAAGAACATAATTAATATACTATTCTGTAGTATTACATTATTGCTAATGTACTCACATGCAGCGCCATTTCGAGTTTGGCCATGCGCTTGCTCCCAAAATGTCTGCCGGTAGTGGCGTGACGTCGATTACGACAAGCGCGCTGTGTGTATACACTGCTTATGTCGATCCAACGCACTGAGCAACCACCGGTAAAGCGTCCAAACACTGAGCGAGGCTCCGTCGCGTTCTCATAGAAATTGTCACTGTAATTTGACGTCAAATTTAATACAATATACGCAACGAAAGTTCGATTGCAAGACTGCGTTTTAAATTAAATTAATATTTACCATATAGGGTTTTATTTACACTCAACATCTAGATTATAAAAAAATCGAGTACTGTATAATGTAAATGTGTAATATGAGAGGGCAATGCGATTTTATTATCATGTTCATCGCCTATGGTTTAAAACAATGGAAACAATGTTTGATTACGGTGCTAGGGTACTAGGGTACTGTTCTTTTTCTATTTTAATTAAAAAAAAAAATCTACTCGACATTAGTTTCAATCCTGCGTGTTTTGTTGATATGATGAATAAATTGGGATGAAGAGGTATTAAGGCGAGGAGCATATAAGTTTTTGAGAAATTTTTGAAATTTTTGAAAAAATAGGCAATACTCGTTATTATCGTCGCAACCAAGTGGTTAAACCACCGTAACCACCGTACATGGCGTATTTCGATTAAGAAGTT